AGTCAAACTGAATTTTTAATAAACCAAAATACAGTTTCAAAGCAAATTAATTCAGATACAAAACTTTAAATTCAGTTTCAATTTAGTGAAAAACCAATGAATTCAATTTAAAATTATGAACATTCAGATTCAGTTCCTGTTGACACAAGATTTATTCCATACAAAGGAGGCTTCAAATGAACTGATAACACTTGACCTCAGTTCCTGTCGGATGGCTCCGCCCCATGACCTCCACCAGCCAATCGTTTATCAGCAGCAGAGTCATGTGACCTGGTAAACGCTGCCACTGTGGATGCTGTCGTCATGTAGGTGGAGCGGCCCGCCAAGAACCGAACCAACCACTAATTTTTGTTTGAGCGACGACGCCACGGGCAGCACGCCGCCGCCGAGGCTCATGGGAGTTATTGATTAGAAAGATTAATCTGAAACTAAATAATTAACAGCAGCTCTTCAAAATAAAAGCATTTTTATTTGATGGAAAGATGAAAACTGACTCGGAGCAAAGTAAAAACTGCAGAGTCATGTTCACGTAGAAGAGAAATGTTTTAACACTAAATAAACGTTTTCAATTTTAAAACAATATAAAACTAACTGAACTGACATGGTTTTTATTTTAAATTGTTTTCTTGATAAATTCAGATAAAGTTGAAAAATTTAATAGTTTTAATTTCAGCTTCCAGAAAATTGAAGTTACAAAAACTGGTCTCAAGTTTGTGACTGAGCTGCACTCTGATTGGCTGGCTGCTGCTCTCTGATTGGCTGGCTGCTGCTCTCTGATTGGCTGGCTGCTGCCTGAGCGTCGCTGTTCGAGGAGCGATGCCTACAAACGTTTAGTATTTAGGTGTTTGTAAATAAAGAGGAAACTATTTGAGAATACAAAGGCGACTCAGCTGTTATGCTTTTTGTATTTAAATTATTTATTTTTGTAGATTTTGACTAACGAGCTGTGCTGTCTCAGTCGAGTTACTTCTTTAAAAAATAAAGATTTCTACGAGAGAAAACTGTTTCCTCTCTTTTGTTCCGGGGTCTACGCGGAGAGTTCTGGTAAAAGCCCGGTGGCTCTGATGACGGCCTCGATGGAGGCTTCAGGTCCCAGAAGCCTCAGCAGGCTCTGGAAGGCCTCAGCGGCGCCGCCTGCAGGCTGGAGGGGGAACAGCTTCAGAGCTGCAGAAAGAAGAAGACGGATCAGAACCGACCTGCAGACGAAACTAGAACTCATCACAGATGTCTTAGTTCCAATAAAATAATCTGTTGATCGTTTTCAGATTAGATTAATAAAGTTTTACTTCCTGATAGAGATGATGGACCAATCAGAGGGTTTTTCTCAGCTAATCATAAACATTTAATTTACAGGCTGAGAGTTAAACATGAACCCAAAGGTGAGCCTGCAGACAGAACTCAGGGCTGAGACCCTCAGGCTGAGCTGACAAGTGGACCCAGGTAGGTCCAATCTGTCAGCGGTGTTGTGTTCAGGTTGGTCTCACCTTGTTCTGGGACCTTTGGCAGCAGGTGGATGTTTGGAGCGACGACACCTTCAGCTGAGACATCCACAGACCAACACAGGACGAACACGCAGCTGTGGACACAAATGGACCCGGGTCAGAGACGCTCGGCCCGCTTTGAGCCCTTCAGGTTCTGTTCAGGTTTAGGTTTTTACCCAGGAAGCTCGGGGTGATTCAGGTTCATGACCTCTGACCTGCAGCCCCCAGGAAGAGAGACGATCGACGGAAACTTCTCCTGCAGAAACAAACCAAATGAGGAAGTTTTACTGTTCAACAGTCAGAGGATGGAGCTAAACAGGTGCCATAAAAACTAATGATGTATGGCAGGCCGCTGTGTCATATAATTTAAAATTATAGTAGGATATATCGTTATGAATGATGTATGGCAGGCCTCTGTGTCATAATTTAAAATTATAGGATATATCGTTATGAATGATGTATGGCAGCCGCTGTGTCATATAATTTAAAATTATAGCAGGATGTTTTTTATGAACCAGGTATGGTAGCCAGCTGAACATATAATTAAAAATATGGCAGGATGTCCTATCAAATAATGAACAAAGTAAGGTAGGCTATACAAAATATTTTCTTTTCAAATCTTTTTTCAGTTTTAAATAATTTATTTTCCATTTAAACATTCTTCCTTGTTTAAAAAAATCATTTGAAAAACCTTTATTGTCCCAAATTAGCTCCAGAGAGGCGTCAACCTTTGTGCCTGGAAGGTAATAATGTTTCTGACCATTTGTCTGTAAATATCTCATAAACTGAACTGGAACTAACCACCAGGAGCCTCATCTTCAACTTCCTGCTTCCTGTCCTGTGTCTAGTAAATATATATGAACAGATTAGATCAAACCTGCTTCAACTCAGGACAAGCTGATGAATCAATTCTGAGTAAAACCTGAAGAATTCCTGCAGCTGGGTTCTGAAGGTTTTGTTATCCTGAACCGAGTGTATAAACAGCTGCAGTGATGGTTCTGTCCTCCAGGAGGCGCTCCGAGCAGTCCAAACCTCTGAACAGAACCAGGAAGAGGGTCCACATCTGGCTGGAAGTTCTGATGATTCTGCAGAAAAACCTGCAGATCTGAGCTCAGAACTAAACAAGCTGCCTCAGGTGTGTGTGTGTGTGTGTGTGTGTGTGTGTGTGTGTGTGTGTGTGTGTGCGTGCTGCAGGTGTAGGGGGTACAGGTGACTCAGCCAGGTCTTCACAACCAGATCAGACCAGAACCGGATCTTGTATCTTAGTGGGGAAACAGTTTAAACTCCTGCATCTGGTCCAGGATCAGCTAAAGGGTCGTTCAGGTCCTGGTCCTGGTCCTGGTTCTGGTTCTTGTCCTGGTTCTGGTTGGATCTGTTTTTAAAACCAACACTTGAGATTTTCTCCATCAGAACCAGGTGTTCCTGCATGACCTTTGACCTGCAGGTGAACTCTGCTCAGATATCCTGCAGCCTGTTGGCAGCGTCCTCACACAGGCAGGAAGACACATGTTGGACGTCCCCCCAGTCCTCCCCCCGCACACACACACACACACACACACACACACACACACACACACACA